CATATATTTATTTCAACACCCACGGCTCTATCATTTATTGAGTGACACTGAGTCAATTCCTTAAGTTTTCTAAGCCTATTATCTTGCCTACAAAACATGAATAACATTCCTACTTTCATAGGGTTATTACTATTGTCACATAGAAATCACTGTGCTACATAAAGTTCCCCATCTTTATAGATTTTAAAATTCAGTGAGGCCGTGACACTGGGTATTGTTCTTGCCTCTGTGTTTTCAGAATCTAATCCTGACTCTTCTGGTGGGTTGAGGAGCAACTTAACACCTTTCAATAAATGGCTTTTCTAGTTAAAGAAAAAAAAAAATTGGGGGGGAGATAGGTATACATGTAAACAAAAAGAGTGAGAAGCCAAGGAAGACAACTAAAAATGGGTTGAGGAGGCCGGGCATGGTGGCTCTCTCCTGTAATTCTAGCACTTTGGGAGGCTAAGGAAGGAGGATCGTTTCAGCACAGGAGTTAAAGACCAGCCTGGGCAACATAGTGAGACCCTGTCTCTATAAAAAATAATAATAATAAAATAAAATAATGAAACAGGTTAAGGAGGGAAGTGACCAATTAAAACATTATTCTGTGGGGGTCAAGGGATAGTTTTAAATCCTAGCAGCAAGATTAATGAAGATCACTTGCCAGGTCTAGAGCAAGTGGGATAGCTGGATGGAGGTAAACTGATATGAAAGCCTGTTCTCCGGACTGATAGGAGATCCTACCCTAGCTTAGGGATAGGAAAACATGCTGAATTGAGATACATTGTTTTCATTTCCCTGAACCTTTCTTATATGTTCATGTTAATCGACAATACATTTTCCAAAATGTTACCAGAAACTTCACTTCTACAGGAGATGACCCTGAGTGCCAAAGTAGAGAATATAGAAATTAAGAATGTGCAATGGGCAAAACCGAATTTTCACTGAACACAAAGAAAAATGCTGTTTTGTGGATGGGTTTTTGTTTTAAAAGAAAATTTCTCAGAATATATTCAACATCAGATATCCACAAATATCTATAAACACAAAACACAAGTTACCCACGAGTGATAACATAAGGTACTTACTTCTCAGAGGGCATGTTAAGAAAAAATATGGTGTACATTAATTACATTTTCAAGTTATTTCATGTCTGAAGCTATCAACAGAAAAAATAAGACCCTTGAGAAAACAATGTGAGAACAAAATTTTTTATTCATATAGAGGAGTGTTAAGCACCCTCTTCTAGTGCAAAAACACTTAATGCAAAAAACAACAGAGAAAAATCCATTTAGTCCATTTCACTAAGACTAGCCTAAAGTCTTAGGAGCAGTGCTCTGTTTCTTCTCTAATCCCCTGACAGTGGTTCAATTATATAGAGGAGGGCTTAGAAAACAAATGGATCACATTTTTCAATCTAGTCTGATACATAGTGTATTACAAGTCCAGCCTTATATTTTAGCACAACTAAGATAAAGGAACCAATAATGAGAGTCACATAAGAAACACATTTTCTATGTTCCATTTCAATGGGAAGTCAGATATTCTAAGCAAGCAAGGGATTCTCGGTCAGGAAAACCAGGTTCTGTCACAACTTTTACCAGTTAGTCTTCACAAGAAATGTTGTTTTATGACCATGCTGCTTATATCACCAGTTATACAAGAAAATTAGCTTGTCACCCCTACATCCAAAGTTTTCAAGAAGAATTAACAGATTTCAAACTTATTTGTTAAATACCATACAGTAGTGTATATATTATTTATAGCCTCTTAAATAAATAAATCTAAACTAAAACCATCTATGGAGCCCAGTAAGATAATATTTATTAATTTTAAAACATACATACACACAGCAAGCCCACTGCTCCCCAACAGTACATACACATATTCCCTATAGTATGTGACTAAATCATATCCTTGCAAGAGAAACTAAATAACCTTAAACTTAAAAAAAGGATGACTTTGATTCAATATCTATTATTGTTGATGATTATGATTACATCAAGAATCACTGAAACCAATTTGCAGAATCTTCTTTTTCTAGTAGTTCTGCCGCAGTTCTAATTAGATACGATCCTCAAGTCGTAACTTGGACTTATAGTAAATAATTTTTAGTTCCTTAATTCTAAAGTTCACAAGGTGTTTTAATAGGCAAAAGATATCAAAAGCTAGTATAAAAACTGTAAGGTAATTGATCCTAGAACCTCAACCATTGAGCTGATATGTTCACACTGATCTTTACATAAAAATAGTATTGAAATAAGCCGAAGCGCCATTTGGCTTTAAGTATTACCTGCTGGCCATGCTGCAGAATCTACTGGCAGTGTTTTTCAAAGTAAAAATAAAATAGTAGCATTTTAATATGAAGCCTATTAATGCCGATACCCTAGTTTTTTCAGCATGTTAGCCATACTAATGTAGTCAAACACCTGGTCACAGATTAAAAGTAGAGCTTTTAAATTAAGACCAAATTTTAATTTAACCACCAAATAGACTTGTACGTTGAAACCCCTTATTTGCCTCCTCTTGAATATCCTACTCTTTTGAGGCTTAAATATCCAAGGTCAGAATTTCAATATTAAGCTCCTCAGAGTAAAAAAGAAAAGTCCTAGTTAAATTCTTCAGCTAAGTTCTAGTCAATGGCTTTGGGAAAAAAGCAACACACTATTAACTGGTTAAGGCAAAAAAAAAAAAAACTCACACAAATTCTGGTTCCTTAAACAACCATTCTCTAAAATGATAAAGCAGAGCATGGCTAGAAACCCAGAAATCAAGAACCTGTAGCCAACTTGGTTTATTCCTCCCACCTAAAAAGTTCTGGATCCATGCATTGGAAAAGATGTGTGGAATGTAGGTAAATGATTTTGCACCTTGGTGGAAAGTTTTTGAGAAGGCCTAAGTGTTTGAGGTCACAAGGAGACAGGAACTTCTCTGGATTCTAGTATCACCCATAAACTACCAGGGGACAAAAGTGGAGTCCATAATCATGAACATTCTCTCCCCAAAGCCTCTTCAGCTGGGCGGTTCAATAGCAATTGGTTCACAGAAGAGTAATCAGTCCTGATCAATTCCGTATGGAACATTAGCACCAGAATCTTATAATACAGAGAACTAGCCAATGCCAGAGTGGTAGTAAGTCATTCGAAAGAGGTTTCTCTGTCAAGCTTGCATTAGTGTGGTTCTTAGAAGATCAGCAGAGAGGTCAGAGTCTCATAATATACTGATAGAACATCAACAATAAGTACAGAAACCAAAGATACACGTCTACCCATGGACAGGAGTTACATATTCCCTTAATATCTAGAAACATGTAAGATTTTTAAGTGTGTTTTCATAGTTAAATTCGGGCAAAGCAAACAGTTTCTCTTACTGATCCTAGTTTCTTCAGTTTTCTTCAACTGATCCTAATGATTATCACCTACCCCCACCAAACCCACTCCTAAATAAATGTACACATTTATACAGAAAACACACAAAGTTCAATGCATGAGTAACATGGCCTTTTATAATATTTCTCTCTGTCCCCCTTTTTTACTCACTTTTAATCATGGGTAACTTAAAATATACAATCTTCTAAAAGTAAATACACATTCATGTAACAAGAACCGTATCACTGTTCTTCCACTGGATATATCTTGAAATAGCATCGGTGGACGTGAAAGGTAATGGGATAACATTTGAGGAGAGCCATTTGTTCAACCTTCCTTTGAAACATGTGGAAGTCTTTGTCTTTCCTTCTTCTAGAAGGCCTTCCTTAGAAAATGCAGGCAGTTCAGAAGGAAATGATCAAAACCAGGAATCTCTCCTCTTGGGATATCAGCACTCTTGCTGCAAGAAGATGTCATCTCAAGTGCAAGAGCAGCATCTAAAAGCACAGAAGGATATACCATCAACTATTTTACATAAAATCCTTCTAAAAATTAATTTCTATCTCACTTGCTTTCTCACATTGCATATATTGATAATATTGGTGGGTACTATGTAGTTTAAGAAAACCTTAGATTTCAGTTGATGTGTTAACAGCTAATTTTTAAGACAATCTTTAGAACAATTACCAATCAAAACTATCATGTGTATGACCAGGCACGGTGGCTCACGCCTGTAATCCCAACACTTTGGGAGGCCAAGGTGGGCAGATCACCTGAGGTTGGGAGTTCAAGCAGCCTGACCAACATGGAGAAACCCCGTCTCTACTAAAAATGCAAGAAAATTAGCCAGGCATGGTGGCCCATGCTTGTAATCCCAGCTACTCAGGAGGCTGAGGCAGGAGAATCGCTTGAATCTGGGAGGCAGAGGTTGCAGTGAGCGGAGATTGCGCCATTGCACACTCCAGCCTGGGCAACAAGAGTGAAACTCTGTCTCAAAAAAAAAAAAAGAACTACTATATGTAACACATATCTCCTTTTATGCAAATAATGACTAATTCTGACAAAACACATACAAGTTTTGCAGAGCCGGTAGTTTACACAGTTTGTATGAATTAGTTGTTCATTGCTCAACGTGAATTAACTGAAATGAATGAATTACAAAGACTCTCCCAGGGCCTTGAAAGGACCTGTGCAAATGAAAGATCAAAACTTAAGCTTTGTTCACTTCACAGTGAATTCACCTTTGATGTCACAGATGCTCAAAATGCTTTGTAAAGATTAACAGATTAATTCCAATAATACAGTTATGGGCTGGGCATGGTGGCTCATGACTGTAATCCCAGCACTTTGTGAGGTCAAGGCAGGCAGATCACCCGAGGTTGGGAGTTCAAGACCAGCCTAGCCAAGATGGTGAAACCCCATCTCTACTAAAGACACAAAATCTAGCTGGGCACACACCTGTGATCCCAGCTACTCGGGAGGCTGAGGCATGAGGATCACTTGGAGGTTGCAGTAAGCCAAGATTGCGCCACTGCACTCCAGCCTGGGTGACAGAGCAAGACACCGTCTCAAAAAAAAAAAAAATAAATAAGTTACGAGAATGTGGCAATTTATCCTCATAATATTTTATATAGTTAATGAGATATTAAACATTGAATGACTTGCTTGAGCAAATAAATTATCACTCAAAATGGTCTGATTGGCCAGACACGGTGGCTCACACCTCTAATTCCAGCACTTAGGGAAGCCAAGGTGGGCAGATCACTTGAGCTCAGGAGTTCGAGGCCACCCTGGGCAACATGGTGAAACCCCATCTCTACCAAAAATACAAAAAATTAGGCGGGCTTTGTGGCACACACCTGTGGTCCCAGCTACTCAGGAGGTTGGGGTGGGAGGATCACTTCAGCCTAATAGGCAGAGATTGCAGTGAGCCGAGATCACACCACTGAACTCCAGCCTGGACAACACAGTATGATCCCATCTCAAAAAAAAAAAAAAAAAGTCTGATTTTTGTTTTGGTTTTTTAACACTAAAAAAAGTTATATTTAAAAGGAAGTCAATAATTTGGTATAGCACTGATCTCTCTTTATTGGGAAAAATATTGCCAAGTATAGTCATGCACTATATAACAATGTTTAGGTCAACAATGGGCTGCATATACAATGGTAGTCCCATAGATTATCATGAAGCTGAAAATTCTTATTGCCTAGTGACATCATAGACATGATAACATCATAGTGCAATGCATTACCTTTTCTATGTTTTGATATATGAATACTTACCATTGTGTTACAATTGCTTACAGTATTCAGCACAGTAACATGCTATACAGGTTTGTAGCTGAGGAGCAATAGGCTGTACCATATAGCCTAGGAGTATAGTAGGTTACATCATCTAACTTTGTGTAAGTAGACTATGATGTTAGCATAACAGTGAAATCACCTAAGGATGCATCTTTCAGAACATTAAGCGAGGCATGACTATAATCAGTCTTGCTTTACAGGCCCACAGGGCAAATGACTGATAAGGGAGATAGGTATATATCTTTCTTGAGCACTTGTCACACTAAATTCACATTACTATATCCAATAAAATGCAGGAGATTAGTTTAAGAGCAAGAGATATATGCTCTATGAAAAGGGATTTCATCTCAGAGATAAATACTACTTCTCGTTTTCTAAGTGGCAACACTTTCTCTATCAGAAGCTCTCATGGAATCAATCACTGGAGAAGGTTTCAGCTGAAAAATTGGTCTTCAGCAAGCCACAAAATAGTACCCGTGAAAGGCTGCACGGCTTTAAGTATGGGAAATCACACCTACCCAGTTCAGAACCAAAATGGTTCTCAGTGCTGGTGTTCCATTTGAGGCAAATCAGCCCCTGAATCATCTGACAGGGGAGGTCCTGATACCTGTAAATTAATAACAGAGCATCATAGGTTCTCAGTAATTCCAAAAGTTCCACTTCCCCAAAATTTCAATTCTATTTGTTCAAATATTAGATGTTTAGAATTAACTATTCATAGCTCAAGTTGCCTACATGGAAAAGAACGAAGTAAGGGGACATTATTCTTTTCCTGTTTTTTTAGTACCAAACATTACTGTTGAGTGGATGTTATTCTTTGGTCTTAGTTTATGCTTATGTTAAAAGATAATTCTGATCTGCTATGGCAGTGTAAGCCCACTACAGCCCATCTCTTCTACTTATTACAAAAATACAAAAACAAAAACCTGTTGGAACCATCATATAAAGACTTTGAAGCAGCCCTTATAACTCTGCTACATGAAGTAAAGGAAAACATACTTGAAATGGATGAAGGGATAGGAACTCTTAGCAGAGAAATAGACACTATAAAAGAGAGTCAAACGTATATTTTAGGACTAAAAAGTACAGTATCCGAAATTTTAAAATCTCACTGGATGGGCTTAATAGCAGAATGAAGATGATAAAGTAAAAAGTCAGAGAACTTGAGGATAGATGTATAGAAATGGCCCAACCAGAAGATTAGAAAGAAAAAAGTTTAGGAAAAAGTGAACAGTCTCGGGAACCTATGAGAAAATACTAAATGGTCTACCATACATATCAGTAGACTCTCAGAAGGAGAGGTGAGAGATTATGGCAGGAAAAAAAAAAAAAAACATTTCAAAAAACAATGACCAACAACTTCCCAAATCTGGTAAAATATGTAAGTTTACAGATTCAAAAAGGCTGTCAAACCCCAAATAGGATAAACTCAAAGAAAACTATGTCTAGATACATCATATTTAAGCTAATGAAAATAAAAGATAAAAATTAAATCTTGAAAGTAACTAGAGGAAAATGAAACATTACGTATAGGGAAACAATTCAAATGCCTGAGAATTTTCCACCAGAAATTACAGAGATCATAAGACAGAAGAATCACATCTTTATAATGCTGAGAGGAAAACAAAACAAAACAAAACAAACATGTCAACCCAAATTCTATATCCAATAAAATATAATTCAAGAATTAAAGTAAAATAAAGTCATTCTCAAATGAAGAAAAACTAAGAACATTTGTTGCCATCAGACCTGCTCTGCAAGAAATGCTAACAGAAGTTTTTCAGGCTGAAGGAAAATAATACCAGAGGACAATTGGAATCTAGGGAAAAAGAGAGACCAACAGAAACAGTAAAGAGCTAGGTAAATATAAAAGATAACTTTTTTCTCATACATTGTTAAAAATATTTATGACTGTTTAAAATAAAACATGTAATGTATTTGGGGTTCTGAAGACATATAAATGTAGTACATATGAAGTTCTAACATATAGTGCAAACTGGGGAGAAGGGAATACGTTTGCAAGGTTCCTACTTCTTTTGTTGTTAATTATTTATCAAGAGAAATTATTTCTTAGACCACATATTCATGTTTCATAGTTCAGGAACACAGGTAAGTGACAAACTTCTAGGTAATTCAACCCAAAGAAATCCTTTGCATTCCAAAATCACTTTGTATTCTGAAAGATACCAGCCTTCCCCATCTCCCCCAAATCTTTCACGGAATCATAATTTCTGCAGAAATCTGCATATGTCTTCTTTCTTGCTTCAGCCACAGCAATCTTACAGATAGCTGCAACCCCCAGGGATACAATAAAGGTTCCAACAATATGAAATCACAGACATTTGGCCAGAAGATCACACAGCTGAGGTTTTGCCAAAGCGCTGGAAGCTATGGTAGTTACCGTCCTTCATAGGTATGTCAACCTCAGAACCAACGTCTTTCCTGGATGATGGAGAAATGGATGGGCAGTTCCTACTTTTTATTTCAAGGGGTACAATGTAGACTATGAAAAATTAGTGATGTATATTGTAATTCCTTGAGCAATCACTAAAAAAATATATAAAAAGATATTGCTGAAAAAATACTAAAACTATTCAAAAACAAAAGAAAACTGGAAAGGAAAAACAGGAGCAAACAGAAAACAAATAATAAAAAGATGGGACTAAATTCAAAAACATCAATTATCACATTAAATGTTAATGGTCTAAACATTCTGTGGTCAGCAGGATTGTAAAGCTATGCCCTTAAGATTTCTGTCCCTACCTAGTTAATCAAACTAATTTCAGTACTGATATGAAGGGACTTTGTACATGGAATAAATATTACTAATTAGCTGTTAATTGTTACTAATTTGCTGTTAAATGTTACTAATTAGGATAGACTATCTTCATGGGCCCAGTGTAATCATATGAGCTCTTAGCATCAGAGTGAGTCAGAGATGAGGCAGAAGGAGTGGTCAGAGAGATTCAAGTGTAAGAGAGATTTGACCACTGTTGCTGGTTTTGAAGGCAGAGGAAGTGGGCCATGAGCCAAGGAATGCGGGTGGCATCTAGAAGCTGAGAACAAGCCCCAGCTGTTAGCCAACAAGGAAATAAGGACTTCTGCCCTACAACCATATGGAACTAAATTAGCCCAACCACCTAAGTGAGCCTGGAAATGGTTTCTCCTCTAATGCCTCCAGAAAATAATGCAGCCCTGCAGACACCTTGATTTCTACCTGTGAGACTCATGCAGAGAAGCAGCTGTGCCCAAGCTTCTGACTCAGAAACTGAGATAATAAATGGATATTAATTTAGTGTGTTAAGTAGTCCCCCCCATTCGTGAGGGATATGTTCCAAGGCCCCCAGCAGATGCCTGAAACCTCAGATAGTACCAAGCCCTAAATATATAGTATTGTATTTTTTTTTTTTTATCTGAAAGCCTAGACAGCTACTAAGCAATAAAAGGGTAGGTAGCATATGTATACAGCATGGATACATGGGACAATGGGATGACTCATGTCCCAAGCAGAACAGAGCCGGACAGCTCGAGATTTCATCAGGCTATTCAAAATGGCGTGCAATTTAAAACTTAAGAGCAGTTTATTTCTGGAAATTTCCACTAACATTTTCAGACCACAGTTGACCAGAGGTAACTGAAAATGCAGAAAGCAAAACTATAGATAAGGGGGGACTACCATATCTCTAAGGTAGCTGAAATAATAAATGAATACACATTCCAATTAAAAGGCAAAGACTGACACAATGTATACAAAGGAAAGATCCTACTTATATGCTGTCTGTGAAAGAAACACTTTAAATATAAATATAAAAACCAGATAGGGTGAAAGTAAATGAAATCAACAAGATTTACTATGCAAACATACGTATAAGAAGTTTGGAATGGCTATTTTAATATCAGATAAAACAGAATTCAAAGCACAGACCACTACCAGAGATAAAGAGAGGCATTTCATAATGAGAAAAGGGACAATGTATCAGAAAGACAAAACAATTATGTGCAAATACCTAATAACAGAGATTTAAAATACATAAAGCAGCCAGGCGTGGTGGCTCACTCTTGTAATCCCAGCTACTCAGGAGGCTCAGGAGGAGGTCAGGAGTTTGAACAACACAGCAAGGCCAGCCAAAACAACAGAGCAAGACCCCATCTCTTAGAACAAAAAAGAAAAAAATTAGCTGGGTGTGGTGAGCTGTGCCTATAGTCTTAGTTACTCAGGAGGCTGATGGGGGAAGATCGCTTGAGCTTAGGAATTCAAGGTTGCAGTGAGCTATGATCATGCCACTGCACTCCAGCCTGGGCAACACAGTGAGACCCCATTTCTAAAAAAAATAATAATAAAATAATAAAATACATGAAGCAAAAATAAATAGATATAGGCCAGGTATGGTGGCTCATGCCTGTAATCCCAGCACTCTGGGAGGCCGAGGCGGGTGGATCACTTGAGTTCAGGAGGTCAAGATCAGCCTGAGCAACAAAGCAAGACTCTGTCTTGAAATAAATAAATTAATGTAATTAAATTAAATCAAACAGATATAAGAGATAAATAGGTAATTCTAGAACATAGTAAAAGATTTTAACAGCACTCTTTCAAGAACTGATAGACCTAAACAAAAAAAATTAAGAGCATAGATGATCTAAAGAATGCTGTACTATTAACCACCTTGATCTAGTTTCACATTTATAGAACAATTAATCCAACAACAAAGAATATACATTTTTTTAAAGGGAACCAAGTCAATCAGCAAGATAGACTGTAGACCATAAAACATGTCTCATTGAGTCTAAAAAAATCAAGATCACACTGAGTGTATTCTCTGACCACAATGGAATTAAATTACAAATTAGTAAGAAGATATCTAGGGAAACCTCAAATACCTGGCTATTAAACAACATTTCTAAATAATTCATAGGTCAGAGAAGAAATTACAAGGGATATTAGAAAACGTATGGACTAACCTTTTTTGTTGTTGTTTTTTTTTTTTGAGATGGAGTCTAGCTCTGTCCCCCAGGCTGGAGTGCAGTGGCGATCTTGGCTCACTGCAAGCTCTGCCTCCCGGGTTCACACCATTCTCCTGCCTCAGCCTCCCGAGTAGCTGGGACTACAGGCGCCCGCCACCACGCCTGGCTAATTTTTTTGTATTTTTAGTAGAGACGGGGTTTCACCGTGTTAGCCAGGATGGTCTTGATATCCTGACCTCGTGATTCACTCGCCTTGGTCTCCCAAAGTGCTGGGATTACAGGCATGAGCCACTGCACCCAGCCTGGACTAACCTTAATGTTAAAACATGACAAAGATATCTTTTTTTAAAAAAAAAGGAAATTATAGTAGCAGTAATAGGAGGTTAGATATATACAAAATAATTAATCAAATAAGTAAATATATTAAATTATACATAGAATAACATACAGCTAATTTTCTCACTCTCAAAGAGGAGAGTAAACTAGACCAAACTCTGTGATGTTGGATTCGAATTAAAGGAATCTTTGTACATTTCAATAAGCATAGAAATGAAAATACAACATATCAAAAGCTGTGGGATGAAGGTAAAACAGTGCTTAGAGGACAATGTGTAGCTTTACATGTTTACATTACACACACAAAAA